CCAAACTTCTGGAATAAAAGGAAATCATGACATGTCACACATGTCATGTGTCCTTAAGGGGTTAAACTGCATGTGAAATGATACTGAGAATTTTAGTTAACTTGTTTTCTATCCAGGGCTCAATGCCTCTTGCAGATTACCATCCATCCAGCAAGTAGTTAAACATTTAGTTCAGGACCATCTTGTTAAAGGACCACTATAGTGCCCTTAGGGTGTCCTCACCCTCAGGGTTCCACTCCCGTGGCGCTGAAGGGGGAGGAAGGGGTTAATCCCTTGCCTTTTTTCCAGCGCCGGGCTCCCTCGGCGCTGGGACTCTCCTCCCTCTTCTTCCGTCATCGGCTGAATGCGCATGCGTGGCAAGAGCCACACGCGCAGTCAGCCAGTCTCATAGGAGAGCATTTTTCAATGCTTTTCTATGGACGCTGGCGTCTTCTCACTGTGAAAATCACAGTGAGAAGCGCGGAAGTGCCTCTAGCGGCTGTCAATGAGACCGCCACTAGAGGCTGAATTAACCCTAAAGTAAACATAGCAGTTTCTCTGAAACTGCTATGTTTACTGCAAAAAGGGTTAACCCCTTAAGGACCAAACTTCTGGAATAAAAGAGAATCATGACATGTCACACATGTCATGTGTCCTTAAGGGGTTAAACCCAGATGGACCTGGCACCCAGACCACTTCATTAAGCTGAAGTGGTCTGGGTGCCTATAGTGGTCCTTTAAAAGGTGTCAACAATATCCATAACTGTTCTAGTTCTTTAATATTTACAGTGTCCTAAAGGTTAAACGTAGAACTAGCTAGCTAGTTATATAGGAGTAGAGCCTGTACAACTACATGTAATTTTCATAGTGTGTGTGAAACAAAACCAAGAATTATGTTAAAACTGACCTTTTATGAAGAATATGCAATTAAGACCTTAGCCGAGGGCATGAGCCAGTAAACAATAATTATTTGTTTCTTTTTCATAATCATGCATCTTTTATTCATAAATGTATTCCAAGTAAATTCTGTGAGTAACACACAAAGCTTCTGTGTGATATGAATGTATTAACAAATTATGTTGGGCTTAAAAAAAGTATGAAAAGGACATTGGACTATAGACATTACTTACACTACAATTAAAGGGGCACTCAGTGGCAGAACTACCACAGTCAGAGGGGTAGAATCTGCAACCGGGCCTGTCACTCTACATGTGTTGTAGCCACGGCCGCGCGGTAGATCCGTGCCCATGCTGTTAGGGCCACCCAATGGCAATGAATATTCAGGGGGCCGGTCAGCGCTGTGGCGCTGTAACAGCGCAACAGGGCCCCCTGTGATGACATCAGAGGCTGGGAGGAAGCGACTGCCCCTCTCACTTGCTCCCAGCAACCACCGGGACCCGCGTGGGAGGAAGAAAGGAGTGGGAAATATGACTCCCATCAGGCTGAGCCACCACTGGACCCCAGGGAAGTCACCCTGTATGTCTCTCTGTGAATGTGTCTGTGTGTTTCTCTGTGTGTATGTGTATCTGTCTGTGTGTCTACATGTCTGTGTGTATGTGTGTCTATGTATGTGTGTTTGTCTACAGGTTTGTGTGTATGTATGTGTGTCTGTATGTATGTTTATGTGTGTGTGTTTGTATGTATGGGTCTCAGTGTGTATGTGTGTGTGTATGTATGTATGTGTCTACATGACAGTGTGTGTCATATGTGTGTGTCTGCATGGGTGGGGAGTAAATGTAAAGGGGGGCCCCAGGGCAATTGTGGTTTCTAGTTAAGCCTCCTCTGGGGGCACTATAGTCACCCAAACAACTTTAGTTGTTAAATCACTTTGTTTATGCAGCCCTAGTCACATCTCCCTGCATGTGACCAACACAGCCTTCTTAAACACTTCTTGTAAAGAGTCATCTAATGTTTACACTTCCTATATTGCAAATTCTGTTTAATTTAGAATTTCTTATTTATTGCTTGGTCAACAGCTTGCTAGGTCTTTCAAGAGCCACCTGTATGTAATTAAAGTTCTATTTACAAAACAGGAGATAAAAACTTCTAAATTAAGTTACATCTGATTGAAAATTAAATCATTTTGCTTTCATGCACACTGTGTCCGTCACAGCCAGGGGAGGTGTTACTAGGGCTGCATAAACAGAAACAAAAGTGATTTAACTCCTAGATGTAGTGAATTAAGCAGTGAAATTTCAGAGGGAATATCTATACACCAAAATTGCTGCATTAAGCTAAAGTTGTTTTAGTGTCAATAGTGCCCCTTTAATATATTAAGAGAAAGGAAGTTCAGTTTATTTAGTTTCATTTAATTGAGATGACGTGTTTAATTTGCCAATATGATCCTGCATTATTATGTTATTAAATTTCAGATTATATAATACATCTTCTTTATGTCCAAAAGCAACATAAATGTGCTAATTCTTTTCAGAAAATGCTTACCATCAGTTATTTTATTTCTCAAGCTGTGTATTAATTTTTGAGATGTTACGACTTACTAATAAGGGACAATATTACCTCTGCAGAACTGCTTTTGATTCATTTGCCTTTGATGGCAAATTCTGCAAAGTTATTTACTCCATTGTTCTGATTTCAGCTTCTCTGCTGTAAAAATTACAGACCATAGCATCCGCAGTTACTGAATGAATTTTTTAACGCGTGGGCCTTTTTTTTAGATAGCTGTAAGAGGAGATAAATGACAGGAGTTGAGATAAGTTGTTCCAAGAAAGCTGCCGGTTATTGAGTTTTGGACTCCGATTGAGTAGGACTGAAATCATTTAAAGCCGTTGATACAAACCAGAACCTACAACATCTATAAACCTATCATAAAACACATCAAACTACATGGACACAGAAATAGCCAGAGTATCTCTTAAAAGAACACATCACGCGTCCATGTATGCATTTGTATAGCTTAGAGTTAGTAGTGATGTATGTGTATGGGCCCTTTCCAGTTCCTTTGATGCGTTTCTATGTTAAACTGATAGTACAGATGAAAATTGTGAATAAAAGGGCAACTGTCCTTTAGCCACTGTGGCTACCACAGGGTTGGTGAAAAATCTACTTACTGGCAGAAGAAGGGGTAAAATTGTGTTATTTAAGCACCATACTCTTTATTGTGGTTATGGGGGACATTTGCTGAAGAACTTAAAGGGTAAATTTATTTGGGCCTAGCGTGATTACACATGCCTAGTGAGGGTTAAAAGTTTATGAAGTAATTTAGCATAGACTCAGGGCTGACGGTGGTAGTACACTGTGTTTTCTTTCATTTTATCTCCCATCAGAAGGTTTGTTTTTGGATTTCTCCACAGATTTCTGTGGGTGTAAATTGTACAGATAGACGTGTTGTTATTAAACATGTTGTATCTTCGCAAGTGACGTTAAATAACAAAACGTACAGTAATTCCATTGGCGGCATTTTTTGGTCTCCCGACAACAACACTAAATATCCCTGCAGGGATTTACTAACCTGCTGTGACTAATTCTTACAGTGTTTGCTCATAGCTAGAGGGAATTCCTTTTAGTGCTTGCAATTAGTTAACTTTGTTTAGTGATGGATTCTATGTGATTGTTTTGTGTTTCACCAGCACCAAGATTTCTCTCCCTTTTAGATATCTTCGAAATTGTTGATTTAATTAATTAAAGAAAAATGCACATTAGAATTTATTAGTAAATCAAAGAGTGTATATTAAGATTACATACAAAAAGATAATTTATGCTGGCACTCAATCACATAGGTGGTGCTGGTATTCGAGGTTATCCCTACAAAAGCCCCATAAATATCATACAAAAAATATATATGAATACCGCACTCAATGTTGTAAAATAATCAACCGTAGGTAAAGAAGTGCTATAATTGAATTTATTATGTTCAATTCTTTAATGTCTAGTTATATAACTTAATATGTGAGATTATGATTTGATCAAAAGAATATATTACATCATATAGTCAATCGCTATTTACACAAATAACCTCCATAGGTGTTATATAGATAAATAATTAATGTATGAACACAGTTGTAAGTATTTCTGTTTGCAAAACTAAGGAGAACCTATCCATATGGATAATAGTCGAATCTGTGGTGTTCTATGTACATAGAAAAAAGAAAAAAGAGAAAAAAGAAGAAAAACTGAAAAAAATGAAAAAATGAAAAAAATGATGAAAATCTCTAATCATCTGTATTGCTGATACATCTTTATTATCTAAAAGTGCACTATTCTCTGGACTATTGTACATCAGGACATTTATTATCTGTATACTTTTTTATTTTTTATATTTTTTCAATTTTTCATCATTTTTTTCATTTTTTCATTTTTTTCAGTTTTTCTTCTTTTTTCTCTTTTTTCTTTTTTCTATGTACATAGAACACCACAGATTCGACTATTATCCATATGGATAGGTTCTCCTTAGTTTTGCAAACAGAAATACTTACAACTGTGTTTATACATTAATTATTTATCTATATAACACCTATGGAGGTTATTTGTGTAAATAGCGATTGACTATATGATGTAATATATTCTTTTGATCAAATCATAATCTCACATATTAAGTTATATAACTAGACATTAAAGAATTGAACATAATAAATTCAATTATAGCACTTCTTTACCTACGGTTGATTATTTTACAACATTGAGTGCGGTATTCATATATATTTTTTGTATATTAAGATTACATGTAAAAGTATAGTGTTGGTTTGTTTACTTTTTATGCAATCATTTTCTGATTGAAGTTTATTCTGATAAAAAAACATAATGTTATGATGCGTGTTATGAGTGTTTGAAGGCAGTCCCAGGCACTCATTGCCTATCATTGATATCCAGATATGTGCAAGATAAAGCATTAGTGAAAAGTGGCTCTGGGTGCCAGGATAGCCTCAATGCTTGTAAAAAATGTACTTAAAATAGTTTGACATAAACCAAAAAGACTGCATGCACCATAACTACTACAAAAAAGCAGTTATTTAGTTATGGTGCCTAGTCTGTCAGCAATACAGATGATTAGAGACTGTACTTGCTATGGCGGTCAGCCTCATTGTGAGTTCTACAAACTCTACACTCGGCATCTTTCAGTAATTCATATTGCATATGATGGTTAACCAAGCTTTAGCAGTGGGTCATGCCTGGCAAATCACACCCAGTTGTATATGCCAGTTTGCACTGGCTCTGGTATATTCACAGTAATTTGTATGAGTGCAATGTATTTTATCTTTATTATGGAACTTGATTTATTTTGGTTTTCCAAAGAATGTACTGTTTGCAGACTTCATAATATTTAAATGGGATTATCATCAAACATAGCTGAGGTAAGCAGATACAATGGAAAAGCTCTAGCGATGGCAAATAAAATGTATCATAGCTGATAACATAAGCTGATCCAGGCAGTGTGGGCTTTTTTTGTTTAATGATATAATGTCTCAAAGTGTATTATCTATATACAAAGTGCATTAAATGTGTTTACAAGCCATACCCTGATATGTTAATTGATTGCAGTAGATTAGTATTGTCACTAAACTATACACCAAACTCTATCTTTTAAACAAAAGGAGTTTTACAAGACTTGTTCCAGATTGGTTCAACATGGCTACATAAAGACAGACCATACTTATGCTTAGTGCTGAATATACCTCAGACACCTGTAGGGACAGAATTTCCTGCAGAAAGTCAATATGGACAAACCTTATCCTCTCTTAATAAAACAAGGTAGTCTCAAATGTGTGTCGCTTATTTCTGCATTAATGAACCCAATTAACGTTTTGCTTTTTGTTTTTTAAATGAGATGCATATAAAGGACATGAATTTAACTGTAGATGGTATCATGGAAGCCACACTATTAAAGGAACACTCCAAGGACCATAACCACTACAGCGCACTGTATTTGATACGGTGCCAGATGTGCTCTGGTGCCCCTCTCCAGTGTAAGGAGTCAAACAGTTTATTGAGATTTTGACTTCTTACTCTGGGATCGCAAGGCCTGCCCCACAACTCTTCTCTGATGGAAGGAACATCGGATGCTCCTGATTGGGAATCTGTTAGCTCTCCTGAGCTACTGCCTGCAGCGCACAGCTTAGCGCAATTAAGTGAGCTTCTGGGAGAGAGGAGGTGTGGGGTGGCTCCTGGCTAACCCCAGATAAAAAAATCAAACCGTTCTTAAACTACTTAGTACGCTGTAGTGGTTTTGGTGCTTGGAGCATTCCTTTAACATGAGCTGTAGTTCCACGTACTCCTGGTAAGCAGGTGTTTGAGGTGTATTTAGCAGTTCCAAAGAAAGTAATAAAAGTACCAGGACTAGCGGAGACATTTCAGCTGGTCAATAGAATTTGCAGCCGAAGTGTCCGCGTAGCTCACTTTTATCCATCTTCTAATTCTATCTTTGTGATCAACCCCTAATATTTTAGAGTATACTTGTCTCTTGTTCCTGAAGGCCTACCTGTCATACTATCAAGTTGCGTTGGGTGTAGATGTGAGAATGAAGGTACCTATGGTGATTTTTTTAAAACAGGATCTGTTACTTGTGAGATTTTTCTCGCTAAATATGTTATTTATTTTTTTACTATTTATATCATTATTATTAAGTGTCTGCTCTGCTGGCATGAGGCATCTTGGGGCAACAAAGCTCCCCACAATGCAGTAATGCAGCGTAAGTCCATTTTTTTAACTAAACACTACTGCTTTTTCACCACGGTAAACACTTAGAGAAGTGACAATTCTTCTTTAACCCCTTAAGAACACATGACGTGTGAAATGTCATGATTCCCTTTTATTCCAGAAGTTTGGTCCTTAAGGGGTTAAATGTGAGAAAGAAAAGAAAATGCTCAATGAATTCAAAGAGCAAAGCATAATTTGTTTAACTGTAGATAAGAAATATTAACATCGTATAATCAATAAAAAAAAAAAAAAGGTTTGTGATCCTATTTTACAATTGCCTTCTACCCTAAGGCTAGTTTAATGTAATGTATTGCTGCTATAGTTCTATTATTTTTTTTGTGATGGTATTCTTTTTATTTGGGTGATAGAGCTTTCATGTTTGAAATCTTCTCTATCTATAAGAGAACGAGTTATGCTAGCAGCCTGAGCACTGTGGTGGTGTAAGCACACAAATAATTTCCTGTAACTAAACAAAGTCAGACGCTTTTTGTTTTTTGTCTTCTCTAAGATTAGCTATCTTTTGCAGGTATAATAATCTGCTTTTTCCACACATGTACAGTATTCTGGCAGCCACATCCTCCCCCTCAATTGGAGGCGGGCATTCTGTATTGAGTGTGGTGTAGAGTTTCCTCCAAAAGACAGTGTCTCTATCCCTCCCCTGTCTTATTCACGTTTAGCAGCCAAACTGTGTAATGAAAACACCCATAGCACAGAAGTGGATGTCTACAACTTGCCTCCTGGCTCCCAGAGCACAGATCCCTGGAGGCGAAGCAGAACTTTTGACTTTTTTGGGTTTAACACTCACAAATTAATTGTGACCACCGAAGCCACCAGCCCTGACACCACAATGGTGGCCAAGGATTATCCTTTTTACCTTACTGTCAAGAGGGCAAATTTAACTCTGGAAGTAAAGAGCACTACAAATCCGACAAATGGAATTGAGGTAAAAACCGATGATAACAGGTTTTAGTAAAATATATATTTTTTTAAAATGAGTGAATTGAAAATTAATGGGAGAAAACCTTCATCAGCATAGGGAAATGAAATGAATGGTCTGTGACTTACTGTAGAAAAGCCAGTGTATCTGTCTTATGCAGAGCTGCTTACTTTTTTGTAACTTTTAGTGGATTTTCTGTTCTGGTTTTCTGGGTTTCTGTGTCCTTGTGTTGCTAGAGAGATTATACAATGTAATCACATTTATTGTTATATTATTAAGTAATGCAATTAATTACTCTCTGTAGCAATGAGATTTTTGCAAGGGTTGCTGGTTTCAATTTAGTATATTTAACTCCTTGGATTATTCTTGTGAAGTTGAGTGATTTAGAAAGGATATTTTTTATATGGCTTTATAAAACAATTAGTGCTGGAAAAAGTGTCAACAGAACACAACACATTAAAATGTAAGTCTCTACTGTCCATGCAATCCTCAAATTGTAAAACAAAATATTACTATTTTAGGTCACCCCTTCACAGTACATTGTATTATTATTTTTAATATAATTTCTCAATACAGATATGCCAGGTGGTTATTTTATTGGCAATTAGGATTGTTTTCCAGTTTGTGATCTAAGATGATAGGTATTTGGTATTATTCATTTTTCTTTTTAATTAGTGTTGACATAAAATCAGGCAGGGATTAGGTATAGTTTAATGGTGAATTACAGGTGTGTGGAATGTGCAGAAGCAAGTGGGTTAAAGCTGTTTCAGTGGCTGCAAAAGACAGCAATGTGTCGTGTCTACAAACCTTTAGCTAGACCTGTCTGGACACATAGCTCGACAGATTTTACTTGCAGCAACAATCGCTTCAAGCTCTTCTAACCTGTCTTTACAAAAGCACTGGCTGTGCACCTAGAACCCCCAATAAATTGTAATACGTGGGCAAATTCACTGAAATAGCTTTTAGTCCCATATTTTGTCAGTGTTTCTGTATGGAGTCCGTATATAATGAGAGAGGGTACTGACAGTCAGCATATGTTTAGCAAACGAGAATGACAGTCACACATGCAGTTACATGTCGGTATGACTCTGACGAGCTTTATTCTATATATGTATACACATGTACACTGTATAGATCAGCTGACAGATATATTGGTTGGTATATGTGTCTACTTATGTAGGGCTCCTCATTCATATTGTAGCACCTTGTAGGAAAATATTAATCTTAAGCCGACTGTTTTCGTTTTATTGTGGGTAAGTTTCCTCGCTGTGTCCCTTTAATTTGAGATTTGAACAATTATTAATAATAATAACAACAAAGTATTTAACCAGGAAAGGTACATTCAGATTACTTTTGTAACCATTTTTGTGTTTGGCGACATGTAGTCCGTATGGTGGCGTCCTGCTGTCCTGAGTTTCCATACTACAAGGCGTGAGCAGTTCCCACAACTTATTTTGTAAGCACTAATTATCTAGATGACATTACAAAGGGCAGTCCTATCTTGCAAGTAATTTAGCCATTAGATAGCAAGCTGTCTTTTATCTGAGTGTGGGAGCTTTGGCTCAGGTGAATGGAAAGGCAATAGACATCAATAGTGGCATAAAATATAGCTCCTCCTCTAATGTGAGCAGCACAGAGGATGTACTGATCAGTCTGTGTGATCATACCAAGCCACAAGACCTGAAGGTCTTTGCTTTTCGTCGTTATGCACCTTTCATAGTACAGGATATTTTTAGGCTAGGGTTAGCATGAAGGCAGGGTAGGGGTTTTGTGACGTTTTGTGAAAATGTTAGTGTAGAGTAGGAATAAATGATTAGTGATAGTATAGTGATAATGCTCTGTGTTAGGGTAATGCAGGTGTTAGTAGGTAGTGTAGAGGTTAAGTGGAGGACTTTCTTGTAAGAGCTAAAAATAGAGCATGCAAGGCCCAGTGCTGCCTCAGATTAGGTGGAGTTATTCTTATGGGTGACCGTTATTGACAGCTGCCATCTTTACATTTGTCACTCAGGAGTGTAACTCCCACTAATCTCGGGTAGATCAGGACAGCATATAGGTGATCAATGGATCTGTATTTTATTTTTTGTTTATTATCGGGCATAATTTCATGGATGCTGTCTCCATCTGTGCAGCAACAGCATTTTAAAACATAATATGGTCAAAGCAGACCATGTAATAAATATATTAATATATATATATATATATATATATATATAATTAATATAGATAATGATGTATCATTTTTGTAACTTAATGATGAGTTTGGATCTGGATTACGAGTGATTTTGCATTTTTAGACAATGTTTTATTTTAAACTATGGCCTATTTCCAAGACCCACACTCCCACCTTCCCCCTCCCAATTCCCATGCAGGTTTCCTAAACAATAGGTTGTCAGACGTGCAGTGTTTTTTTTTTTTTTTTCTTGCTAAGGGGAGAGATGTTTCTGATATATAATCACTTTTGGAAAAAGACTGACCTTTGTTTTTATTCAAGCACTTGTAGCCATGTAGCAGCTGCCAAAATATCCCAGGGTTCAACAGGTTTTGTCAGCCTTTCAAGAGGCATTTTCAGCCAAGAAGGCAGAATTCCAACACTTTGAAAATAACTTTCCGTTCAAAAAAAAAAAACCCCACCTTGCAGACAGAGAATAAGACGCAAATCAAGCAGACCCTCTCATGCCAACTTGGCAAGCCTCTACATTGTGTACCTCACTGATATCATTGATTAATAATACATTATTAACATAGCTTCTTTCATCTTTCTTCACGAGCTAAGCCACTCTCCCAGCAAACAGGCAATTCTTATGGCTAATGGAATAACTAGCATCTACTGCAAAAAAAGGCAGAAAAATCTAATAAACGTTTCAAAAAGTGGACGGGAGCAGAAATGTTCTTCTAAGGGTCTGAGACAAAAATAACTATTACAGGCATAATACAGTACTCTCAAAGGAATGATCTGCAACGATAAACTGGCATAATTATCATTACAAAATGAATTGTAGCTCCATCGTCAGTCTTTTGGATTTGTTCTTTTCATCTGACATATATAAATAGTTTAATTATAAAATAAGAACAGGGAGTAGGCATATTATTTAGGCAGTAGACTCTGCATACATCTGCAAAGTAAGGAAATCTAGTTCCAGCATTTTGCTCAGCAAGCGGGTAACGAATGGATGACAGAGGTTATAGAAGTTAATATCAAGAGTAAATGGAAATTCTTAAAATAGAATACATATATTGTTCAAGTCCTAATGACTAGCTAGTAGCCGCATTCATCACAATTCAAAAAGGAGAAATGACTCGAACATTCGTTACACAGCGCAGAAGGATATTTCATTCATCACATTTCATGGAACTTAGAGAGGTCAGGCCGCACTCGCTCTTAGCATTCAATCATTTTTGTATTAATAGTGTATTTATTGGAAGAAAACACAAGGCACATTTTCAAGCTCATAGATGAGTCAAAGAATAACAAAGGATTTTCATGCTTGCCACTAAATCTGAGTCTGGACCTTTTACCAAAGCAATTTCATTCCTACAGTCAAACACACAATCTTTCCCAGTGTCCTTGATTTCTTTATGTGAAAGATTTTATAGTTATTATTAGTAGATTGATTTTAGGTAACATGCACATTTCCATAGCAGGCCTAATAACGAATATTTTTTTTTTCCTTTGCATGTTTGCATCGAAGTACCAAAACTTTAATAATATTACATTTTGTTCCCAACTTCCTGCAACCCATGCTTAATAAACCTAGATTCCTAGTTGTTTCTTGAGACATTTCTTTAGCCATTCTTTCGGCCATCTGTGTCTGTCCTGACAGGTTACACTGTGTGGTATTTTGGTAAAGGCAATTGGTTCAAGAGAACTCTTCTGAAGATCTGTCTACTGATGGACCATTCCAGTCTATTATCTTGAGAACAGAGGGATCTGTCAGTTTGACTGAACATCTCATTGATCCCCACTCAGAACTTCAAGCCTGCACTGCTGGGGGTCTTAAGGGTTGATTCAAAGCTTCATTTAAAACATTAAAGACAAATTATAACAACAACAAAATAATTTAGACTATTAGTCTTTTTATTTTGTCATTCATGTTTTTGTGTGGACAGTTGCAATTGACCTCATTCTCAAAAGTTGCATTGGGACATCATCTCATTTTTTTAAAAGACTTAATCGGATGCTGATTTGTAGAATAGCAATTGCTTGCTTAGAAGTCATAGTCTGCAAAATCTATGAAAATAATAAATTAATATTGAAAATGAATATCAGATTTATCTCTAACGTGCAGTGTTCATGCTACAATTAAAGTACTCAGTTGTAGTCTGCTGAAAAAGCAGGACATCTGCTTTTAATGATCTTAACTTGCCCTTTTGGAAGCCACTGTAGCTTCTCACTCACTGATTAAATAACTGTTTTTGGGAAGGAGAGGAGTTTAAACTTTTCCCCCCAGTGTGATTAGGAAAATTATTACAAATTATAATACCTAATTCAATTTCTAAGCACATTTTATAGTCCTGCAGAGGAGTGTTGGTATTCTTAAGAATGGGAATAAGTCAGCTTTATCAACAGCTAAAAGCACTTCAAACAGCTTTCAGCTGCTAATTATCTTCTGGTCATGGCTGATCAGAGCAGTTTGGAAAGCAGTAAAATACAGAAAACCCGATAATCTGTGAACCCATCTAACCTCCCTTTAAACAACAATAACACCACAAAGCAAACTGTAATTAGATGTACGTTAATTGGTTCCAAACCAACCATTATTTCCCAGTGGAAATTCTGTGTATGGTACCTTGTTTTACCAGACAAATTTGCAGGGTAATTGTACATTAAAATAAGGCTAATTCCATCTATACACCCTATGTGATTCAACAAATATGTGTGTTTTATCCTTAACGCAATCTTTTTTACATCTTTGACTGTTTAAATTATACCCAAAATTAGAATAATGTACAATGAACTAATATTGATTTATAGAATTTTTCACAAAACATGTAAATCTTTATCTGCTTATTTATTGAAGGCTTTATTGACAGTGTTGTTGTGTTTTGGATAATTTATAATAATTTGTTTTTCCTTCTCATTTCTGTGTGTGTAAGCAGAAAATGAATACTTGTATTTAGGACAGTTACCAGTACATTTTTGGAAATGCAATAATTCCTTGACCCAGACCGCTACCTTACACCGTGGAAGGCTGTGAGATCAGATGGTGGCTCCATTCTATTTGTTTCTCTATTTACTTATATAGTAATTGTGAACTCTCTCAGTTTAGGATAAATACACAATGACGACATGATAATTCCCTGGTGAATTTGGCAAATATATGGTGATTTTATTGTAATCTACTCAAAATATGCTAAATTTATAAAATGAGCCAAGACAAATGATTAAATAGCCTGTTGTATACATAATGTTACAATCTTATCTGGGGGGGGGGGGAAAGTGTATGAAAGGACATATCTATGAATTATTAACAGTGTCTTTCTGCCAAAAATGGAAAGATAATGTTTTCCTGTAGAGAGGCTGGCTGCAGTGAGCTTGGGGGGTAAAGTTTCCTGGTTCTTCCCTGAGGAGCGGCTGGCTGCTTGAGCTTGAGAGATAATGTATCCCGCCTCTTCCTTGTAGGGAGGCTGGCTGCAGACATTTTAGGAGATAATACTTCCTGCTTATAGAGGGGCTGGCTGTTTTAACCATCATCATCTTTTAGGCCTCACGCCAACTGAATATGAGTGTCAGTGTTGGTCTTGCTACATGTTTCATAGATTTAAATGTCATATAAATGCTTTGGTTGTTGTGTAAAACAAATTACTTTGGAGTTTTCAGTATGTATTGTGTGGAGAACACTGCTAAGTAGTTATCCTGAAGTGCTAAAACTGCACTTAGTGAAAATTGGTAATGGCTGGGCAGAGTATAGCCGTGGGTTCTTATTCATTTTGTAAGTGCAACGTTCAACATCATGGGCTTCTCTTCCTGGTTGTATCAATATCACAATGCCAATTGGTTTTCTCATCCAGTTGATAAGGCTGGGGCCTAGTCTACAAAACAATATTCTATGTGGTTGTAAAGCTACCTTCAGGGTTCTCAGACGGACAGGAATGTTCTTACTGCATTGATGGTACCGAATAACTTTGAAACATATGCTGCTTAACATTTAATATTCTTGAATCATTATTTAACATTTCCTTTTACAGGACATATTCTTGTTCTAGCTATTCTCAATAATTATTTCTTTGTCAAGTAGCACCTTCTCCCTGGCATGTTCCTCTTCCAGTTTGTCTGGGTAACTATTTAACATTTCTTAAATGTCTTGCATAGCTCCCTAGTCTATTGTTTGTCTGGGTATTTAGCAAGTGAAATTCCATTGTTACAATCATTTGTCAAAGCACAGTGTGCTTAGTTTCTGTATGTGTTCGTTTGGTTGTTTCTTAAGCTGTGGGTTGTTGTGTTGTAACCTTCAGTGTTTCATTTGTATGGCAATTCATACAGTGCAAACATTTTGGTGAAAGGATATCACCTTATATTGCCAAGAAACAACAGGGGTGAAGGAAAGGTTTCTGGGATGCCTTCACATTCGCTTTAGGGAATTCATGATCACAAGGTTTCCATTTAACCAACCTACCTATTGAGAGGGATCTAATTGCCTGGTGATGTAGTATATTTTTCTCTCAGCGCTTCCTGTTACGCATGAACCTTCAATTAAAGTGTTACTATAACCCTTATGAGAGATGGGGCATTTGAGTTGTAATAGACCCTACTAGGCATTGTGGAGAGGGTCACCACATTCAGTGCACTATTAACACTGTAATAAAAGGTTTTACTTACCTGAAATCCAGTGCCGGGCAGTGCCCCCTATTAATGTGCATGAGCGTGCTCTGGGCTGGTATGGGGAGGCACTCCTAGGGGTGCACCCAGCACCTAATTAATAATATCTTGGTATATGTGGTGTTTCAAGCTGAAACACTGTACATACTATTTTTTACCACCATGACCACTTCAAATGACTGAAATGGTCATGGTGGTTGGAGTAACCCTTTAAATCACTGCCTCACCCAGTACATGTTGTCAGTGCAGCCTGTTCCAACACCAGCAGGTCTTGGGACCTAGAATTACAGAGACCGTCATTTAGGCTAAAGTAAAGTGAACCATCACTTGGGTCCTTGTGTTATAAAACCCTGATGTTTTAATTCAGTAAAAAGTAATAAGTAACAGTGAAATAGCAGTAAGGGGTTGTTTTTACAAAAAAGTATATATTACAGATTGTGTTTGCTAAGCAAAGAAAATTAAATGACATCAGTATTCTAAACATTGTTTTTTCTGTGTACATGAATTCCCCTCCACTAGGGCCTAAGTCAGATTCCCATAGTTTGTTCTGAGCTGTTTTTATCAGTCGGCCAGCAAGCGGTCTGGGAACCTTGGCTGAATCACATACATATTTTCATTGCCAAAAAGTCACCATTCTCCTTTATCTCATTAAAAGAATAGGGACGAGACCGATTTTCATGCAGTAGGAGTGTGTATGTGTATATATATCTATATATAATAGCAGACACATACTCCAAGGAATCCATGTATAAAGTGGAATTATGAGGCAAAAATGTGGTTCTTTGTTGAGCTCATTTGCATACGCCTACCCAGAATTCCTTGCAGTAATGAGAGCACTGTTAAAGTGAAATTTTGGTGGGAAAAGCACGTCTTATGGCTTGTCGGGTGTGTGTTTAGCAATATATTACTTCAGGTGGAAGGGGTTTTCATCCACACTTTTTCCCCCACCTCAACTCTGTTGGTATGTACTTCACAAGTAACACCAAGCCTCCATAGCAAGCCAGTAACTAACTTCATGCTGATGACTTGCATTAACAATGAAACGGTTGTCCATGAGTGGTTCACTGGCTTTGCTCCACTTCCTGAGCTGTGTTTCAAAGCTGTTGTATACAGCAGACACATACTCCAAGGAATTCATGCATAAAGTGGAATTATGAGGAAAAAATGTGATTCTTTGTTAAGCTTATTTGCATACACCTACCCAGAATCCCTTGCAGTAGTGAGAGCACTGTTAAAGTGAGATTTTGGTGGGAAAAGCAAGTCTTATAGCTTGACTGGTGTGTGTATTTGTGTTTAGCAATGTATTAACTATCCTTTTTCAGGTGGAAGGGGTTTTCATCCACACTTTTTTCCCCACCACAACTCTGCTGGTGTAGATATATATATATATAGATATATAGTTAGTTTCCTTGCAGCTGATGCACATATTTTAGATCTAATATTGTCATAATATATTAATGCACTTGTTAAATTATAAAATCACAACAGTGTATCATAGGATGGGTCAGCTGCCTGGTGGTAATAGGGTAATCTGGTGTCTTCAGTGAAATTAAGTTTTTATAGTGCCAAGAGATGTCTGGCGCTGACTTACCTTAAGGGGTTAAACCGTTCTCGAAAGTCTGTGTTTCATCACCGAAAGTCCCTGCCTCTCTGCCCTTCTGTTTTCTAAAACTCTCTAAAATTGTAAGGCTTTTGCAGAATCCATCAGTGGGATTGATGATTGGCTTAGAGTGGTTGGCTGACACTCTCTGACACTCTCAGCCAATCAGTGCATCCCTATTCATAAAATGGGCTTGAAAAAAGGTAAGGTTTTTTTAAACCCAGTTTCTGTTTTTTTTGAATGAGGATTTACTGACTAGCTGAGAGCAGTCAGCTGACACTCTCAGCCAATCAGTGGCGCCACGGCATGATTCTGTAAGAGAATTTTAGAAAACGAAAGGGCAGAGGGGCAGGGACATTTGTTGCTGTAACACAGAGCTTGGGGTTAAACCGTTCAAGCCAGCGCCAGGGACCTCCTGGCACCATAACAGCTTGATTTAGATGAAGTTGTTATGGCTGCAGTTGCTGCTTTTTAACAAATGCCTAGTTCTCCTGCACAATCTCTTATTATAGCACCCAGAACCCTGGAACATAGATGCTCTTAAAGGGACCCATTGTGGTGTAGTTTGTGGTTGAAGTAAATCTGAAAATAGTACAACATGAATGATTGTTTTTTTGTTTAAGCTATTGGACATTCTAAGTTCTAAGATGGGAGCTAAACCATCTAGACAAGCAGGAACTATGGTCGATTTGCTTCCAGATTTACCTTGAACACAACCTATTTACAGTTTTAATTACCATAAAAATACTTTAAAATTGAAACCTAGCTGATCCACTTTAAAGCATAAGCCAGGTCCGAGCCATCCTACCCCAGTTTATACTCAAAGTCTTCTGGGGCCAGAAACTATCTTCTTTTGTGCCCCGACAGGTTTTTCAGCTATGTTTATTTTTATACTAGCCATTGAAGATCTGATATTAAGACTAGTAAGTTTCATCTCCTTCTCCCAGACACAACAGTCACCAAAGCTGCTTAAAACTTTTTCATTCTTTGATTATTTCAGACAGGTTGGGATTAATGCCTTCATGGGAGATTTCATTTTTATAGCTCAGAAAATGAAAGCCATTGGAAATCCATGTTATTTTTTGATTAACATTTTTGGGCAGGTGTGGCTGGTAATTGTGTGATTCTCAACACTATGCTGTTCTGTGAATTTGAAACATTGCCTCTGGCCTCATTCTTGAACAGATTTCCGCCCAACAAGGTGTTTGACATTTATTGCTGAACTTGCGTGCCACCTCCTTTGTGGTCTTTGTAGGAAGGACAATTATCAAATGTCACACAATCCTAGTTCAGCCATTGTCTGTAAAAGACCAAAGCGGATAAGGATTTTTTTTGTATTTTACCAAAGTCTACCATATTGTATGTTAGATAGACCTACATTGTAATGATAAAGTTTAAAGCATACAACTATTATGCAAGTTGTCTATCTCTACCTTTTGCTGAGCATCAAATTGCAGCCACAGTTCCTCTTCAATAAAGCAGTTTGTCTGTGTGTGTTCTATATATTGCCATTTATTGTTTTCCTTTACAACTAAATTAACTTTGCACTTTTTGGGATTTTTCTTGCCTTTGATTCTTAAACAGACTATTTGGCCTCTTTATTCATCCTATGTGGTTTTTCTGTGTGTGTGTGTGTGTGTGTGTGTCCATATCTAGGTCATATCTGCAAAAAACAGGCTGTTGATACAATGCTGGTTCTAACTGGTCTAGTTTTCCCCACCAATAGACTTGTATTCTATAATTGAATTAAAATATGTTGAGTGGGTATGGTTATTTTGCACACACCCTGCAGCTATTACAAAGTTCAATACACACACAACCCCACAGTTACAGTATCGTTTGTGTTTGAAACAGCAGATATATAGAAAACACGTTGGCATGGCAGGTACCCAATCATATGGGTATTTGGGTTATAGATTTATCTGATTTAATTGGTCCGTTTCCAATTTCAGCACTTTCAGGCCCAACGAACCCACAAACAGTTTGTGGCTTGGATAGCTTAAAGAGTGACTTAGAGGGCCTTAAGCAGAAAGCCAACCCATTGTAATGCACCTGGACCAAGCCATACAATTCAGGTCACTGCCTCGCTCCTTCTTAGGATAATAGAAGTGCATTGGAGAGTTCTCCCTTTTTTTTTTCTTCTTTAGAAAACCAAATGAAACTTGACTTTCATTGGAGAGTTCTCCAGCAGAGTGTGTTAATTAAAAGCATGTGGGTGGGCTCGTATAGGGAAACTGAATAGAGAATTAATCAATACAATTAGAAAATGATTTAACTCAATGTGACAGCCTGATTGTAGCTAATAATGTCAGGGTATTCCTTTTACACAAGCCCATTAAGGACTCTGGGTCAAATGCTCATAGCCTCAGAGAAGTATTTGATTCACTGTTAGCTATGACATTACTCCAGTGTTTTCAAACAGTATGCACAAAGAACTGCCCTCCTCCCCTCCCCCCCTTTCTTAAAGTGCACTATAGACAGTGACTTCTGGTATGTTTATAGGATAAACACAGTACTTAAAGGAGCTCTATAGTGTCAGGAATACAAACAAGTACTTCTGACACTATAGTGCTGGAATGCAGCTTTAGGTCGCTGGCCTCTCTCTCCTGATATTAAAGGTGATTTTATTCACATTGTCTCCCACGCTGCGCCAGACCTACCACGGCCCACCTGGTTCCACTTCCGTGGCTGAGATCATCGATTTTGATGACATCAGCCAATCCAATGTTTTCCCTTAAGAAAGCATTGAGAGATTATTGCGCATGCGTGGCAAAATGCAGCGCTGTGCCTATCAGCATCTCCTCAGAGATGCATTGAATCAATGTACTTGTTTGGGGAACATTCAGCAACTCTATGCAGAGCGTGGAGACGCTGAACGCCAGTGCTGCACACTGTACAGCACTGACACAGGAAGCACCTCTAGTGGCCTTCTGAGTGATTTACAGTGTTTACAGTGCTAAGGCTGGAGGGACAGGCTATAGACACCAGAAACACTACATTAAACTGTAGTGGTCCTGGTGACTATAGTGTCCCTTTAAAAGTTTTTTTTGTTTTTTTTTTAACAAAAGCATCATAATAACTACTACAGCGCACAGTGGTTATGATGCCAGGAGTACCATATAGCCTTTCCTCTGTATGGAGCAAACCGTTAAAAAAAAAAAACAACAAAAAAACCCTTTTTTTAATTTATTTTTTTGCATGTACTGGGTCTCCTTTCTTGCCTGGTTCCTGCAAAGCTGTAGAAGCCAGATGCCAATCCTGCCACTCATCCATTGGCTGACAGCGTATGCTGATTGCTCTCAACCAATGAATGACATTCTGTGCATAGAAATATGCACAGAATTGACATTAGCCAGCCAGTAACGCTGCTGTAGATGGAGTCACTTCCAGCAGCAAAGGGGTTAAACTGTATATGTGCAATGTTTCATTATGAATCACTGCACATACAGACTCCAGGCTCCATGCATGGTAATTGGAGTAGCCCTTTAAGTAGCTTGTCTTTTTTGTTTTTGTGTTTTATATAAAATTAAGTAGTGTTTCTTGCAGCTCACAACAGCTGTAGCACCAATAGTTTGCAATCACGGAGTGAAAAAGGAAAAACACAATATATTAACGTTTGCATTTTGGTGTGTAGGTAGTAGACTATAAAAAGCTGTATGTTTAATGTACAAGAGTTATTTACACTACTGTGTTTACCTTTAAGAGTTCACAAATATTGAAATCTGCTTAGTAAATAAACCCTATGGGTCCTTAATATTTTATTACTGAAGAACTCTTAGTAAACCTTTGTATATTCCCTAAGCTGTGTATTAGCAAGAATTGACTATTTGGGGCCAAAACAACTGATCTGGAAGAATTCACCACCTTGGCTATAGTTACTGTAAAGCTTTTTTGGGGCCAAAAAGTTCAAACTTTCTTGGTCATTCTATAGTTTATAACTCTGCCTATGTTCTCATTCTTAACAAAACGCTGTATATTCAGTCATCCAAACACGTTTCCTGTCCACATAGAGAACTGTGTGTTTTGTGGCAGATGTCTGTGTGCTAACGCCATCGTTTGTACAGTAAAATGGCCTTGTGTTTTGTCTGCATTTAAAAAGCTCTTTATACTGGGCTATTTCCATCCCCTCACAGTAAGGAACCCATTGCAGAGTGTGTTTGCAATGTGATCTGGCAATACATTAGCAGATCTTTTGTAAGTAATCTTGCGTATTTGCACAACTAATTTACACCCTTGTAACTTTGACACTTTCAGGAATTTGACATTCTGTTTGCAAGTAGAAAACCAAATTAACCTGCAGCTTGGCCAGGATTACAGTGAGCCTTAGTGAGCCAGAGGGTGAAGTATGTGCACATGGCAAAGGAATGATTAAAGCAAACCATTGCTATAGTTTTTATCTCAACTGCTTTTTTTTTTTTTAAATAGTCTTTATCACGCCCCCCACAACATGTGAGCCCTCGAAGTTAGTTTTACTTACCTTTCAGCCCTCTTCTCACTGCTGGTATGCATTGGGAGGTTAGTGCGCATGCATGGCAAAACATTGTGCTTTGGCAATCATATGGTCCCGGTGAAACCTGAGAAAATAAATAAAAAGCACTATAAACAACTACAAAAAAATAGCAAAAACTATATGTATAAGGCACATCAAAATACATCTGTATATAGGAGAGTCAGGTTCTGTCTCTGCAGGAAGCATTGAAAAACTGGATTGCCAGGTCTCTACCATGTAGAAGCAAAAAAAAAATGCATTGATCCAACAATAAGAATAAGTACCTTTATTCAAGTAAAGTAAACATATAGCCGGGAGACAGCATAACAATTATCACTGACATGTTTCGCACCTCACTGGCACTTCATCAGGATTTCTGATGGACCAGTGAGACACAGAACGCGTCAGTGGTTTGTTTTTCTACTCCCCCCGTATGTCCTGGCTGTATGGTTACTTTATTTGAATAAAGGTATTTATTTATACCTATCGTTGCATCAAGATGTTTTTTCTTCTGCATGGAAAAGACCAGGCAATATAGTTTGTCAGTGCTCTATGAGACAATTGCAGACATTTACTTGGACACAGCAAACATTTACTTGGATATTTCTGCGGAAGCACCTCTAGTGGCTTTCAAAGTGACTGCCACTAGAAGCATGTAAACGTGGTCATACCTGCAGAACAGCAATGTTTTTAGTTGCCGGGTTAAAACCCGAGGGGCATGGCACACAGACCTACTAGATTGACATGAAATGGTCTGGGTGCCTATAGAGTCCCTTTAACCCCTTAAGGACACATGACGGAAATATTCCATCATGATTCCCTTTTATTCCAGAAGTTGTGTCCTTAAGGGGTTAAAATATCAGCAAAATGTATTGTGTACTTTTTGAGTTTTCTTACACACTATTTTATGGTAAAGCAGAAAATGGTTATTTCAAGGGACATTCTGAAAATATATATTGTGTTGCAGAATCCATAGGAGCGCGACAAACTAGTAATCCCAATTTTGTTTTAACATTGGTATCAAATTCCTACGAGCATTGCTTGCTGTGTTCAAACAAATCAAAGGTTTCCCCTTTAACATTTAAACATAGGAACTGAGATTGTAACGGTGATAAAAGCCAGTTAGCCAATGTAATCTGCTATTCTCCATCTGAAAAAACAACTTGCAAACATTTAGATAAAAATAGCAGAGCTTGTTTCAGTCTCAGACATGACTCCGAGTGAGTTACAAGTTTTGTTTTGTTTCCAACATTATTTTACATTATTTGTTTTTGTTTTTTTGTCTTATCACCCCTATGTAAGGAAACATTTAGATTTTGTAACTCGATACTGACTTGAATGGACAATCCCAGAATCTCATCCAAACATTTACATGCGTTGCCATAGCAATTTGTGGTATTTAAATATAATATGTTACTTTGTATCGAGAGTGTGAGAACTCTTCATTCTAGCCCTTTCTTTTAAAAGTAATGTTGGGACATAAAACTGGCTTTGTGGTCCTGGAGAAATTAAGTCACAAGGGAACCAACAAATGGTTTTTAATATACTAGTGAAGTTAATTTTCAGATCCAATTTTGCTTTTAATAATCATGCATACAGCAACACCAGAAGATAGTGTTTACAGGATGCTAGGTTTCACACCGAAATGCCCGCTAATTTAAACATGGCTTTTCTTCTTTATGATATGCAACTGCTGCATAGCATTTTATCTTTATAAAGAGGAGCATTGAGGACCTAATGTGCATGCACAGCAAAGCCACACGCACATTGAAAGATTGAGTCAGTGCTTTCCTATAGGGTCTCCTCGTCACATGACAGAGAGGTATGTGCAGCGGAAACACCTATAGTGGCTGTCAGTGGTGTGTTTAACCCTGCAACGTTCTCTAAAACTGCAGTGGTTTACATTGCAAGGTTAAGAGGACAGGGGCACTACACCCAGACCACTTCATTGAGATTATTTAGGCACCCAGACCACTTAAGGGGTTCCTTTAAGTCCACCATAGCTGAATTTGAAGTTTTGCTTCCAGTCCCTCTATGTTAGCCTTAAATTTTAAATCCACATTAGTAAATAACTATACATTTTTATGTGAATTGTGTGCACTGCCCAGTCTCAAACAAACAGTTACAGCTTTTCACACACCGAGTGATGAAAGTTTTGATGAAATGGTTTAGAGACTAACAAAGTCATGTGTTTATTTCAAATGAAATCTCATCTCATTGACCTGGTTTAGTTAAATTACTTGCTTTTGGCCCTTTGGAGTCCCGATTGGAAAGCCTACAGTTTGTCTATGAATGGTTTATACAATGTCTAACTTTTAGGTCTTGTGAAATGTAATACTGCACAACTTGTGATTTTAAACAAACGTAAATACAATAATTTAAAAAATAAAATATCTACAGTAAGGTGGTTAAATAAAGCCTCCCCCTCCCCCATATTTTAGTAATAATTTGTTTTTCTTATCAATGAAAGCAAACCTGTTATTGCAAATAACCTGCCATGTACTTTAACTCCTATTGCTTAGGGTCTCCTTCATCAAAATAGGCATTTCCAGTCTCTGGCACACCAGTTGGAGATTTTTCATTTTCCACAAAAAATAAATAAAAAAATGTGTCCAAAAAAAATTCAGATTTTAAGGTTTTTGTGTTAGGTTATTTCTGAAACGCACACATAATTTGCAGGTCTAAATTGTACGTTTTATTACAATTACGATAAATATAATGGCTAAAAGTCATCATATGCCAGGAACACAATACAGGTTGGAGGCAATTGCATTTTGTCCTGGTAACTAGTCTAGCTTTAAAGGGTTCATTGCTTTCTCCCATATCTAGGATTGAGCCTTCTTTGTAGAGCATCATCATCATCATCAGTTTGTCTATTACTTTATCAGGCATGGAGGAACAGAGACAATAAAACAATGACTGGCATGAAATCCCAAGGAGCCCGTTTTTTCATGGGTCAATGGTAAAAAATATTAGTTATACTGACTCAAGGGAAGTCACTTGTAAAGGAAATGGGCCAGCAAACATGAGGCTCCTTTGAAGATAAAATGCAGACTGCGTCAGCTGGGAAACAATAGGTGGTGCAAGACGCGGCAGAGCTTTCTTCTGCCTGGTCTGGGGAAACTGGGCGATGGGTAGAAATTGTAGGAGATACAAGGGGCGTCTTGCAGAGAGACAAAAATACAATGGCAGTGTTTTGCAAATAACCAATTTATAATTGTTTACCACAGTATGTTTTGTAAATGTGTTGTTGTGTCATTTTAATTACAGTCCAATCTTGCTTTACAAAAGGATGAAACAAAGGACCGGATTAAGGGCTTTAGAATAAACATTGAAATTACCTTGTTTTAGGAAAGATGGCGATCAAGAATGTGCCACTGCACAAAATATGCTAATCTAGAAAAATATGAAAAGTTCCAAGTCAGCAAATTGTGTGCCTTGTTTTATAGTTTACACATCAAACCTCCATGAGGCATGAGTGGTAACTTAACTAGGGATTGATCAGCACACATAATTTGCATTAGTAGCCTGATTTTTTTTTTTGAATAATTAAAAAACAAAATAAACTCAATTTAACCCTATATTAATGATGGCAATCCGTTGCCACTTCAGCTGTTGGTGACTCCATGACATAATGTTCTGTCGACCTAAGCTTGCCATGTGGTGTTTTGAGACACTTGTGGATTCTGCATTCTGTCAGGCAAGGTTAAATGGAATTCACATGCTCCCAGTGTTAAATCAGTTACGTAATCACAGCTGGGATCCCAAAAAAATCTGAGTGATGCGGGGGTGGGGTTGCAGCTCATGGAGCAATGGCTGCTCTGGCTAGACTACTTAGCTCGAAGAGATGGGGAGCAGAGGGAGGTGGCTGCATGCTGGGAACATACGCTATCAGAGGAACGTGACTCTGTCGATGCCCACGTAGTAACTTGAGGTCTGAGGGAATTACCCCCACTAGCCGCATATTGCACAAGAGTGGTTTCAAAGCCTTAATTTCTGTGAAGTCTTCCTACTGTTGTTTGTACTTCTGTATAATCTTTGAAAACTCAAAGATTTTAAAAAATTAAAATAAAAAAATCAGAGTGCATAAGTGCCCAAAATATGCAACCCTATGCCATCCTTTGATTGGTTATTAATAATATATGATATACCTAGTGATAATATATGTATTCATTAACTTGGTCATAGCATGTAACTTTTCCTTTTCCTTTTCCTTTTCTGTCTAGGAACCTAGTAGTAAGCGGGTCAAACCTCTGTCGAGAGTCACGTCACTTGCAAACCTCCTTCCGCCAGTAAGGGCGACGCCTCTAAAACGCTTCAGCCAATCACTCCAAGTAAGTAAAATTGCAATGTGTCTTTATTGTAGCATGCACATGCTTTCAAATCATATACTTTGGAAAGGACAGAAAAATTATCTAGAATACATGTCTGTAAATTTCCCTTTGTAAATGGTCTTATTAGCGCTATAGAGAAAGGATTTCATGATTTCTAATCATCGTTGACGACAAGATGTCTTACTTTGAATGATTGTACAGCACTATGGAATTTGCTGGCGCTATAGAAATAATAATGATGGTATAAGTAAGCAATAGTGGTTATGGTGTCTAGGTTGTCCCATATAATAAACTATCTACTCGAAAGCTCAAGTGTCTGTGCAGCAACCTCAATCTACTGACTATATTATTTATATTAATATAAATTTATCAGTACCTGTTTAATGTTTGGTTGTTATCTGTCTTCAAAGGATCACTATAGTGTCAGGAAAACAAACTTGTTTTCCTGACACTATAATAACCCTTAGGGCTCCCCTCCCTTGGCGCTGAAGGGGTTAAAACATATATACTTTAATCCAGCGCCGGGCTCCCTCGGTGATGGTGACCTCTCCTTCCCCTCCGATGTCTGCTCCCGAGTGGAGTGAAATGCACATGCGCGGCCAGATTTCTCAATGCTTTCCTATGGACGTTCTGCACGCTGAATGTGATTTTTCGCATTCAGCGTCACAGAAGCGCCTCTAGCAGCTGTCAGGAAGACAGCCACTAGAGGCTGGATTAACCCTGCAATGTAATATGTTTACACCTGAAGGGTTAAAACCTTGGGGACCTGGCACCCAGACCACTTCATTGAGCTGAAGTGGTCTGGTTGACTATAGTGGTTCTTTAATTAAAAAAAATAAACAAACAATGTTCAATAATAACTATCAAGCAATAGAGATGTTCTCAGCTCTCCAAAACCCCCCACCCCAAATATATGATGGAAAGTTTGCGTGGGCAGAAAATGAGAGTCCCTTCTAAAAGAAGCACATCTGTCATTAACAAAACTGTCATATTTTAGGCATTTTTGTTCATCAGAGTCTCTTAAAGAATGAATACTTTTACTAAAAGAATATTCTATTTTCCTTGACATGAAAAAATAAGCATTTCTATATGTATAGTATATCTTTTATTTAGCACAATTTGATGATTAAATGTCTGACTAACGCTGCTCCCTGTCTGAATGAGAGGCCTTTGACATGTGATATGCGTTACTGTAAATTAAAAAGCTTAAGTCGCTTCATATGAAACAAGACCCATACTATACACAATGAAATAATGTCTAGTTTGGGTCATAGGTGGAAACTAAAAACTTTTCAACTGATCTTGCTGTTATTCGTTTTACTTTAATGTTTGACATAAGGCTTTTGCTTTGTGTTGGAAAAGAGCAACAAGAAAAACAGAATAAATAGATTCTTGCCCCAGTGGTGATGATGTCGCTCTCAAACACATAGTGGTGGTTTGTGTTCTTTAGTCTGCAATGTACTCTCTGTGTCAGAGTTGGCAGGTCGAAATTAAAATCAGCATTTACAGAGGGACAAAACCCCAGTGCGGCCACTGTCCAATCTAGGCAGCCATATTTAGAAAGACATTTACGCTGAATAGCTCTCAACATTCCCCGTCTGGCAGCCTTTTACCTTGCCAGCGACCATTAAGGAACAAAAGTTTTATCTTTTTATACAAATCGTCAGCTTTGCAGAGCTTGATTGAGCAGGGTCCTCTTCAACCTATTGTTCCTGTAAGTTTATTTGTAATTGTCCTATTTATAGTTAGATCCCCCCTCTCATAATATTGTAAAACGCTACGGAATCTGTTGGCGCTATATAAATGGCAATAATAATAATAATAATAATAATAGGTCAAGGGGAAGAACAAATAAATGAAAGACTTTATATGTTAGAGTATCATAGTAAGTTCTGTTTTGGCTAGTCTGGTCTCAAAGGATCATTAAGCAGCTGTTACTATTGCTGTATTATATCACTGTATACACACGTGTGTGAGGCAGACTTCCTCATCTCTTCTTCATCTCAGAACGGTTTCCAGTTAAAATCATGACTGTATGCTGCAGCCTTTTGGGATCAACAGCATAAAAATATGGATTTGAAGGTTGAACATGATGATTAAATAAGTGTATTCAGCCCCCATGCCTGTCGGCCAAATCCCATCATGCTCCTTAGAGTATGGAGGTTTATGCCAGCTTTAAAATAGATCAGACACAAAATATAATCGATCATCATTTTAATTTTAGAGTTTGTGTACTGGAAAGATTATGAACACCATGCAGCTCTTCTGTATGTTCTCCGAGATTATATATGCATACATTTATCGCTATCCATATTTTTAGATATGTTGGATAACATATCTATCTAAAGCCTGTTGTTGGATTGTTTTTTTTTCTTTTCGTGGGGAGGGGGGATTATGATTCCACACCTACAAAATACAGCTGCTAATACTAACATGCACGTATTACAATGCATGATTTCTGCTTTTGTTGCCCTATGTGTTTAGATGTGTTTTAGTATTTTTCTCAGCACAGAAATATATCCAGGTATTAAAGACGATATATCTGCCAGAATTTAGTTTGTACTATAGTCATACTAGTTTTCAATATATTAATCTGCTTACCTGCTTTTATTTTCCATTTACAGCGCTCTATCAGTTTCCGAAGTGAGAGTCGGCCAGATTTGTTTACCCCACGACCGTGGTCAAGGAATGCTCCCCCTGCAATCACAAAACGAAGGGACAGCAAGCTATGGAGTGAAACCTTTGATGTTTGTGGCAATCAAGTGCTCACTTCCAAGGAAATCAAGCGCCAAGAGGTTGGTGTCTGTTTCTGTTATAAAAATTGTATCCTCCTGTGTTTTGCTTTGTTTTATTTTTTTCCATTGACAAAGGTGTGTTATTTAGAAAATAAAGCGTCTGGTGCTAGCTTCCTGAAGTAAAATTTGAATGTATTAGGCTTAAAGGAGTGTTATTTTTTTGTATTTTTAAAAGCAGTGAGAAAGATCTCTCTCTTACTATATATGATTGGTGTATTTTTTTTGTTTGTTTTTTTTCCCAATGAAGTTACATTGGCACTAGGTAAATTTTGGGATTTTTTTTTTTTTTTGCTCTCCCTGAGTTTAAAGGGTAATGCAGACGTGGATCCCTTGCTCACGGTGCCTAGAGGGTTATTGGCTATACCTCACTGATGAGGCCTAACAAGGCCAAAACAATTGTCTGTAGCTGCTGTATCTCTTGTGCAGAGAGAGCCAGCCTGCATTTCGGTTCTTGGCCACCCTCTTGGGTGGGATTAGTCTAATATGCAAATTGCCTGGTTCTCTTTGTAATAGCTCGAGATGAGCTAAAACTAGCTCGAGATCTGAGTGGGGACCCACCGAATGGCAGGCTATTTGAGCTGTTGTCTACACTCCATATTCTCTTGCACTCTTTTTTTTTTTATCTACCCTGCCTGCTGTATACTTTCTTATTTTTAAATCTTTATTCATTTTAAGAATAAAACAGACATAACATATTCAACAAATAGATATGTTATAAATTAGTTCAGCATGTACAAAACCGTAAACAAACAATGCACAAAAATAACTAAATTAAATAAAAAGGCAGGTCCACTAAAGAATATAATATTTTTTATACTTGTTTTGTACTCCTTCTGTTGTATGAACAAAGTCATTTTCATTTTGAGGATAGTTGATAAGCAGGATTGATAAGTATTAATTTATATACGTATCACTTTCGGTATTCACAGGGCATTGATCCTGTCCTTTGCATCATCAATGTCATTAAAACATGTCTAGGGGTGCCTTGCTTGACCTCCATCTCTGGCTATGCCAGTTAAGTGCATGTATTTCTGTTTTGAGTCATGTTTATATTTTTTGCGTGTATTTAATTGCAGGCTATTTTTGAACTATCACAAGGTGAAGAAGACCTAATTGAAGACTTGAAGTTGGCAAAAAAGGTAAAACTATCACATTATTAATAGCCATCTGCTTTATATCCGCTCATACTCCTGCTTCAAAATAAGAGAAACATAACATGCATGCTGCTAAACTTACTATTTTTAATCATGCGCAGAATACATGTAGTTTACACTGGAACGATGAGCTGGTTTGTGACATATTTACGGTACACTGTAGGCACTATATTTTCTTCATCTCATTGAAGTAGTTATAGGGTCTGTAGTCCTCTGGCACTGTCCTTCCATTCAACTTTAAACCAGCAGCCCATCACCTTTATGCTGCTTGGGCTATTAGCTGCGATGGGCAGTTGTGATTGGCTGAGAAAGTAGGCTGACAACTTTCAGGCTATCACAGAGCGCATTGCTAGTTTGAATTAGTACGACTAGAAGGAAGTGTATAATCTCTTGTCTGACTCATATCTTCAGTAGAGGCCAGGTACCGCTATCTAGTGTTCCATTGAATGGAGGAACGGCACCAGAGAATTCCAGGCACTACAAACAATTCAATGAGATAAATGCCTACAGTGTCCCTTTAATCATTTATTAAGAAATCAACTAAATTGTATTGCTACTCCTGTCATAGGAACAGATTATGGACCACAGACAGACAGACCTATTCTGGCTGGACAAGAGACACACTCTAATGTTGAGAAGCAGCCAATGTCCTCTTAAACCCTGTAACTGCATCTTTGCAAACAGTTGTTCATTTATAATCTATGCCACCTCAAAAACAAGCCCCAGTCTTGTGACAGGTTAATAAATGAATGGCTGTATATTGTCTGGCTGCAAATGAGTTGAGAAATCTCCAAGGTTGCAATTTTCAAGCTACAAAATTACATATCTTATTGTACATCTTGCAGGCAGCCAGTTAGCCAAGTAAAGCAAAGCCATGCTGTTTAGTTAGGACTAGTTTATTTAAATTAATGTGTTGTGTTTTGTTTGTTTTTAGGCATATCATGACCCAATGCTGAAACTCTCAATAATGACAGAGCAAGAATTAAATCAAATATTCGGAACTTTGGATTCACTAATACCTCTACACGAAGGTACAATATTCACCCAAAGACACTTTTCCATTTATTTTCATTTCAGGTATTTAAAAGTAAAAGTAGTTTTGTTGTAATAAACATTTTTTTCTATCTCTTATTGCTTGCAGATCTCCTCCGACGGCTCCGGGAAGTCAGAAAAGCAGATGGTTCGACAGAGCATGTTGGACACATTTTAGTAGGCTGGGTAAGAAAATAATTTGTATACTGACTTTTCTTGCATTTTAACAATGTTAGAATGCACAAACCTTAAAACTGATCGTATTTCCTTGTACATGATCTCTGTTACTAAAATTGAGTGTTTCCAACTCCACTGTTGTAGTGTCTTAGTAACAACTTATAAAGGTAACCTTTTTTTATAAATCCGTTTTCTGATTTAGAGTTTATCATTGCGTGTAATACCAATACCTTATGCTGAATCTAGACCCATAGAATGCAAGAAAGTGAGTTAATTGCATACATACTGCAATTCACTTCATACAGTGAGTACATACACCAGACTGCAGCTGTTGGTCTTTCAGTACATATATGTATCACTTTATATTTATCGGGCTATACTAGTCGTGCCCAAAAGGTAGATCCCCAGATGTTTTAAGACTACAGCTTCCATGATGCTTTGCCATTCTAAAGTCATGTAAAGCATCATGGGAGTTGTAGCTCTACAACATCTGGGGCTCTACCTTTTGGGCACCCTCGGGCTATACAGATCCTAAAGGCTACCACTAATAAGAGCAAATATCAAGCTACAGACGCAAGTCTATTCTAATTGCCTGCAAATGCATACGGTACTCTGTAGGTGAGCGACAAAAAACTAAGTGCATACATCAACCTGCAGCTTGAGAACTCTGCAGACGCTCCGTACTAACAAGTACATATTTCCGATTACAGTAATTGATAAGCCAATTATAGGTTATGATTCTTGATAGTTGGTGTGCCATAGATTTCATTTTTTTTTAACTTGCATAATTCAGTTAAAATAAGAAAAAGGCATATCTGTGTTTGAAGAATGCAATGTGTTTGTCTTATACTGAAGACATTTATATAATAGTGGCCTAGAAGGATATTGTACACATTCTAAGCAATTAAAGTAAATGTTTTTCACATTACATGGCTTATGGAACATTTCAGTTGAAGGTAAATCTGTGGACGTCACACACTTCACTAATGTGCGGTTCTTATCAAACAATATGTACAGTACATATGTTCCTGCAATCTGACAGATCAATGCATTTGATATTGCATATGCTGCATTTTTGTTCTCTGTGATACGGGGACATAATATTACTGTTGCAATCTGTACTTCCTGTTATCAGTATTTAAGCTAATGCACGGATTGAAAGTTTAGGGATTTGTGAATGTCTTTTATATTATATATGTTACCATTCAATAAGTGACCATTAGGCTTTCATTATCTAAACTAAATAGGTTATTCTGCAGCAGGAGGAGACGTACAACTCTTTTTAACCATGTAGTCATGCATGCCATATGTACTTGTATCTTTTTGAGACACATGTGCTGTAATAATCTGCAAACATTATCATGGGCCACTAGCTATTTGTAGCAAATGCCAGCATTTGATAGAACCTTGTAATAAAAGCATAAAACAGATTTACAGTAAAACAAAAAGTAGCACAGTAAACAACTAACCAATGCTTAGATAATGTAATTATCGAATAACTGAAACTTCCTTATTCACATTATCAGTCTAGCAGTATATTTTAGTTGACTATACATTTACTATGTCTTGTGCTGAGAAGATATTTCCCACCATGCGCCTGACTCCCACTTCTTGACAGGGCTGCTCATTTTCTGTGTGTCAGAAGCATGTTTTACAAACGGTGCAGGGAACAGAAGAGGGGTTTAAATGAATGCCCAATGCCGCCTTTTCCTTTTCTGTATCCCTGGTGTTTGACATATAAGACAAAAATCTCAAAAATTTAATTTGCAGAAATAAAAAAATAAAAATGAATGCCCGCTGCGTTTCACAGTCGGAGGCAGCAAGTTAAAATCTCTCATTAAAAATATCTTAAGTACAGCAAAATTACACAGGGCCTTTTTTTTTTTTTTGATCCATTGACCAGCCATGACTTATTGTTCCTGCACAGATGCTGAAATACGACTCTTTGATTAAACACAAGGGCAGGATCTCAGCAGTCAGTAGCCTCAGGCATGTCATTTTAGGGAGGAATGCCAATAATTATTTGTACATATGAGTTGTAATAAATTACAATGTACAGTAGGCAAGGAATTATTGCATTTCTCCTCCCAGCTTTATGTGTCAGTAGAGGTCAATCATTATGCTACTAAAGCTGTGAAACAAGAAGTAAGAGATTCTGGTTTTAGCAGCTTGGGATTTCCACAATACTTGGTCAGTCCTTTTGTTCTTTTATAACGAGTACAAGCAATTTACAGAACTTTATTCCAGGAAGTCTTAAATATTCATTCCTTAAAGCTGGTTTAATCAGCATGTCAATGGCAGGTGCAGTTAGGAATTTTATCAGTAATCTTGCTTTAGAATACCTTCACAGGAAATGAGAATTTCTTAAGAGAATTTGTGAGATAGAATTTATCAGTCAGAGTGGCCAGACATATGTTGACAAATACTTTTTAACTGTAAATCGAAATAAATGGGTAGGAATATATTTCTGTTGACAAATATTTTAACTGATCACATGATTTAAAGGGACACTATAATGACCAACGCAACTTTAGCTTAATGAAGTGGTTTTAGTGTATAGATCATGTCCCTGCAGTCTTAATGCTCAATTATTTGCCGTTTAGGTGTTGAATTGCTTTGTTTATAAAGCCTTAGCCTCACCTCTCTGTATGTGACTTACACAGCCTTCCTAAACATTTAATGTAAAGAGTCATCTAATGATTACACTCTCTTAAAGGATCACTATAGGGTCAGGAACACAAACATATATTCATATAGTGAAAACCCACCATATATAGGTGGCTTGCCCCCTCTTAGCCCCCTCCTAATGGTTTAAAACTCATCTTATTTTTAGCTCTCCACAGGTCTGCCGGCCCCGCCCCCTTGGTGACCATCAAAATTGCTGATTTTTAACCAATCCAATGCTTTCCCATGGAAAATAAAATTGGCAAGGGGGCGGGTCAAACGCCGTTTTGGGCAATCAGCACCTCCTTATAGAGATGCATTGAATCAATGCATCTCTATGAGGAAAATTCAGCGTCTCCATGCAGAGCGTGGGGACGCTGAACGGCAGGGCTGCTTACCAGGAAGCCCCTCCAGTGGCCATCTGAGGAGTGGCCACTTGGAGGTGTCCCTAGGGGCAATGTAAACACAGATCGTTCTCTGAAAAGGCAGTGTTTACATGAAAATGCCTGACGGGAGCTATTATACTCACAAGAACAACTACATTAAGCTGTAGTTGTTCTGGTGACTATAGTGTCCCTTTAAGTTCTAAAAATTCCGTTTAATTTAGAACTTATCTTCTGCATGGTTAATAGCCTTGTAAACTCTGCAGGAGCCTCCTGTGTGATTAAAGCTAAATTTACAGAGCAGGAGATAACATTTTTTAATGCAAGATACGCAGGGACGTATTAGCCGCGAGGCAAACAAGGCATTTGCCTTGGGCGGCATTTTTCAGGGGGCGGGCGGCTGGCGAGGGAGCACTTCCTCTGAGCTGTCTGCTCAGCTCCCTCGCGCGCCGCCCGCAGAGTGAGGCTGGGAGCCGGAATATGACGTCATCTTCTGGCTCCCAGCCTCACTCTGCGGCGTGCGAGGGAGCTGAGCAGACAGCTCAGAGGAAGTGCTCCCTCGCCAGCCGCCCGCACAGCAGCCACTGGACCACCAGGGAGAAAGAGGAACCACCCCCCCCAGCACTCCCAAAGGTAAGGAGGCTGGGGGGGGGTTAAATTAAAAAAAAAAAGTGAATGAGAGTGATTGTGTTTGTGTCTGATTGTGTTTGTGTCTGACTGTGTGTGTGTGTGTATGTTTGTGTCTGACTGTGTGTTTGTGTGTGTATTTAGAAGGTGGGGCGGGGGGGAAGGGTTGGGTGGGGGTGGCGCGCCTGAGTTTTGTCCTGACTAGGGCAGCACAAAACCAGGATACACCACTGAAGATATATCTGATTGAAAATGGAAAAAAATAAATTTCAGGAAGACTGTGGGAATCACAGCAAGGGAAGGTGTGGCTAGGGCTGCATCAACAGAAACAGGTGAAAAAGGTGATTTAACTCCTAAATGGCAGTGAAACTTCAGAGACATTATCTATACACTCACACTGCTTCATCAACAAGTTGTTTTGATGACTATAGTGTCCCTTTAAGATATAATTTGGAGCTGGAACATGGTCTAAGAAGAGTTACTTAGCTTGAAGCAGTTCAGATTTTTACTTTGGACCTGTTTGGTCAAAGTGCTTTTTTATTATGAAAGGCTGTGAAGTTTAGTATCATGCACTCACCCAGACAGATAACCCGGGGTTCAAACAAACAACCCAACATAGTGAAGTTTAAATAAATCTTGTCCAGCTCATTCATGTTGTAGAATTTTTCATATACTGCTATATTCTGCATGATTTACAGTTTAATAAATACATCTCCTGACGTTTAGTTTAAAAGGTGGAATTAAATGCAAAATATGTTATGCAGCAAAAACTTCCATTACACGATGTCAGGCTGCAATAGTATGCAGGTGACGAGATTAATTGAGATTCATATAATTCAATTATTTCTTTGAAGTTGTTGTGATCTAGAGTAATTAGCATCAATGTGACTCACTTTTTGGTGCCCGTCTTTGCAAACCCTTCTGCACCTTCTAAACACCAGCTAAAGACACATTTAGCGTAAGATGAGATTAGCACAAAGCATGAATGCGGGCAGAGCCGTGTGTCGAGTTATTTTAACTCATTTGTTAGAACTCAATAGACTGTCAGTCTGGCTTTGTACAACTCTCTTAGTGGATGGGAGTTGTAAAAGCCCTCTTTGATTTAGTCTTTGTGACATTGTGTTTACAGTCTGCCACTGATGAAACATGTCAGAGAACATTATCACTTGGTTTGAAGGAAGATAAAGGGGTCTGTAATAACTAGAAGCCTAACCCTTTGACTATTTTCTGCAAGAACGTTTCTTTCATCTTCCTGACCCTCATCACATTTAAAAGGGTTTATTGAAGTTTATAAATTAGACATAACATTCCTTTATTGGCAGAATGAGGACTATTGCATTGTAGGTTAACTTGAAATTTACCTACATATAATTACAATTCTGCTAGCAATAATTGGCTATTAATGTCAAAGCACATTGTTTACACTAAGTAGATACTGTGGACAAGTGAACCCAAAGATATATTGTTTAAGTCTGCATTAAGTATCCACTATGTAAATAAATATTTATAAGATATTTTGCTTTCAGGAGTATAGGAGTCTATGTGCAAAAACACTAACATTTCAATTGGGATGTAGGAAAACTACCTACTGGAATTTATAAATCACGTGTAATAGTATTATCGAATGTACAAAAGGCTCAGTGGCTCTAAATCAGGATGTCTGGACAGGTGCATGTTGGGAAATAGATTGCACACAAGAGGCAGACATGTAGATAGAATGGTGTTAAAAGTATCTTGAATAACTTAATTGTTTCTGATAACCCAACATGTAGACTGTTCTCTCTGCTCTGATAACTTTGTTTCGGTCTTGTATTGACTTATGACGTTATATATTTGTCGTACTTTTCCCTGCAGTTACCCTGTTTAAACTCCTATGACAGCTACTGCAGCAATCAGGTGGCAGCCAAGGCCCTGCTAGATCACAAAAAGCAGGATCACCGTGTACATGACTTTCTACAGCGCTGCTTAGAATCACCATTTAGCCGTAAACTAGACTTATGGAATTTCTTAGACATCCCAAGAAGTCGACTTGTGAAGTATCACTTGCTACTGAAAGAAATATTGCGGCACACTCCAAATGACCACCCTGACCAGCAGCATCTGGAGGAGGCAGTAAGTAAAAAAAAAAAAGTAGTTTGTTTTTCATACATCTCGCTAGAGTACCTGTTCTCTCCGTCCTTCCTATATTCTAGGCACCTCTTAACATCTATTTTCTGAGCAAGTCAGAGTTTTTTTCTGATGTTTGCATGTGGGTAAGTTTCTTCTTTTTGGAAGCCACGCATCTAAACCTACAGCGGGACAGTTAGATTAATGAAAACAGAAAACACATCTCCTTCCAGCAACTAGAGAAACTATTTTAGGGGCTTGTAATTGCCACATGGACTAATTGTGTCCAGTGAGGAATTGTTGGCAATTAGTGGTTCAATAATTTGGTCTATTGGTGATCGGCAGGGAACAAGGGGGAATAGGCTTTTTTTTAGGTTCTGTTAGATTGCTCTTTATCCAATGAATCTACCTGAATGTAAGACATGTGTCCTGTCATTTTCTTTATTTTAAATCTACTGCTGGGTTTTGGTCACCTCTGCACTGAACACATGGTCGTTATTTCAAACGTGTGCCAACCCAACCTTTATAACCTATAATATTGAATGCTGTTTAACGTTAATTTCCTGACATTGGTTCGAAAGTAAAATTTACAGCATAAAACAAACCAGCTGTAGTCAAATAGAACCCATTATTATTAATGACAAACCTTACAAAGACTTTAGGCTAGCCACAACCATTTCTACACATACTGAGTACAGAGGAACGGACATTCTAACACCCTCTATAGGAGGCATGTTAATTACTTATAAACTACTACAGAGAAATAAAAGTTGTTCAAATTATATTGTTTACCAATGATATCAAGCAGAGGATTTATTTGCTTCAGACACAATCCCTGTACTGGATATAAACTGGATATTCCTTGCAAAGCACAACAATTCACATTGAATAATGTGTCGGTTAAGA